TCTCCATTTCGTCGACATTCTCGTTGAGTGCGCTGAAGACCAACTCATTCAAGAAAATGAGACGTCTTTTGACGACAACAAAGTTGACGAGAAATAAGACATCAGTTCTGTCGCCGAAGAATCTCAACAACGAGTTGGAGAGCCAGGAGGCGAGAGCCCAAGAGCGGCAACGGATCCGGCCGTCGATATCGTCGCCACAAATTGTGGACAAAAAGTTTCTGACGCCGAAGAACCGCATCATATCGACGCCCATCGGCTCCAGTAGTCGTATGTTTTGTCGCCAGTCGTCGAGACTGTGGATCGAAAGCATACCGCAAGAAGTGGTGACCAAATTCAAGGAGTCGTTCACATCGTATGAATACAAACGACAGGAAGCCATCTATGAGTTGATGGCCGGGGAGATGGATATGTGCTATGATTTAGGTCTCATCGAAGCCACGTATCAGAACTCATTGATTCACTTAGAGATCATCGACGAGACGGAAGCGTTTCAGATCTTCGGTGATTTGCATGCCTTACACGCCGTCCACTCGGCGCTCGTCCAGCGTCTGGAAGCTATGCGCGACAAAAACGGTGTCTTCGGATCGATCGGCAAAATACTTATGGATTGGACGCCAAGACTCGACGTCTACGAGAGCTACTGCTCTAACCAGAGGACAGCTAAAGAGTTGCTCGAAATGAAGATTAAAAGCGATAAACGAATGAATGATTTCCTTCAGCGGTGTCTTCAGTCGCCGTTCAGTCGGCGCCTCGATTTGTGGGCCTTTCTGGACGTTCCGCGCAATCGTTTAGTCAAATACCCGCTTCTTCTGCGGTCTATAAAGAAGTATTCATCGGACAGTAGTTTCGACTTCAAAGCCATTGAATGCGCCATCAGTTTGATGGAGAAAATCATATCTCGAGTGGACTTCCGGATGGGCGAAGAGGAGTGCAAGCAATTGATCCACAAAATGGATTTCGACAGAAGCTGTGCGACGAACGACTGTTTGGTGGACTCGAAGGCCATCATCTGCAGCGGCACTCTTCGCAACTCTCGCGGCACTAAACTGTTGTGCGTTTTGTTTGACACGTGTTTCGCGCTGACGAGACCTAACGATTCCGGTGTTTTCGTGCTCTACAGACAACCCATACTTATCCATGAATTGGCGTTTGATTCGCCTAATGATGTCAAAGCCGGTAATACGTTGAACCGTACGCTCAACGGGTCGACACTCGCGAGCAAAACATTCATCTTCAGAGTCTACTCGACATTACGTGACATCACATTCACTCTTCACGCCAAAGAAGCCAATAATCTGAAGCTTTGGGTGAATAAACTGACTCAAGTGGTGGACAAGTATGCCATTCAGCACATGACCAACAATCCAACCATTCCTAAGATCATGTCTAAGACTCAGTGTCTCAAAGAGCACAACCATTTGCCCGCACGACAGCCGCTCACCCCTAAAGAGGGTTCGCCGCGAAAAAAGTTAAAGTTTTGTAATGAAAACACACCTCAAGAGTGCTATGTTTAGAGACCATTAGAGGCCCAATTGAAATCAAATCACACGAAATGCCTTAAGATATACACAAAGTTTACGATATATACCAATCATTTATGAATTGATTTGTTTATTGATTAAAAATATACATCAGTTTTAAAATTTAAATACTTATGAATTGTTTTATTGATATATGAGACCTAAAAATGTGGTCAAAACAAATATAATAATCTAAATTATTCTATCATTTAATGTCAAATACTATAACTTATAATAGTTTAAATTTATATACTTTGTATAAATATCTCTTTTTCCTTATTTGCAAAGAAATAATAATATAAAAAGTTGTGATTTTTTTATAAATGAGAACACTTTCAATCATTTCGATAACATTTACTAATTTGTGTGATCATTGGTCACCGATTGGCTTCAATTGGACTGCAGTTCGATGAGTGCTATGATCTGTTGCGGTGATAGTCTCTGCATAGTGTGCAGGTCTTTGATGGGCGGCGACTCGCGCACCGATTTGGTGATGGAGTCGCGCAAGTGTTTCCAATTATGCAGTTTATTCATATAGAGGTGGAGGCGCTCCTCATTCCGCAGATGAGAGTACACTCGACACAGTCCTCTATAGTCGTACTCGAGACCACTATAGCCGACGCCAAACAGTTTGATTCCGATGCTAATGGAGCGGAGGTACAGCTTCTCGGCCTTGTCGTAGCAATGCATGTCGTAGTTGTAAAGGGACGCCAAATGGCCCAAAGAGAGGGCCACCTCGTAGTCGTCGGTTCCCAAGAGTTTCTCTTTGATGCGAATGGCCTTCAAATGCATGGTCTCGGCGTCGTTGTAGCGCTTCATCGACTGGTAGAGTCGGCCGAGATTTCCGTAATGTTTGGCCGTCTGGACGTTGGTCTCGCCGAACGCCTTGCGGGCCATATCGAGGGCCGACAGATGCAGTTCGCGGGACTGTATGAGCATTCGCTGCTCCTCTTCCTTGTCGTGATGATCGATAGCGATCTCCTCTAATATCAATGCCTTCACCCGTTTGGCAGAAGCCAACAGCAGGTGATTGTCGGGAACTAATTGCGAGACAATACTCATGGCTTTGTTGGCGTGAAAGCTGGCGTTCAGAAAGTTCCCGGAACTGTATTCGTGAACATAGGAGGCGTAACCCAATTCCTCGTGAGTGATGGCTATTAAAAGATTGGTAACACTGTTGTCGTTCATTCCGAAGATGTATTCGCGTATTTCGAGCGCCATTTCATACAACTTCACCGAATGGCTGATGAGATCCACATTCAACAGGTAGAAGCCGTAGTCGAGGAAAACGTCGGCCAGTTTCAGGTGAATCACACCAATCGAGTACTTATTCTGGTCTTCTGTCACATCAAACGTGTCTTTACATAAAATCATCGCCTGATTGATGAGAGTCTCGGCTCTCTTGAACTCGCGCTTCACGACCGCAGTCTTGGCCGCCTGTCTGTAGACATCGATGACCGTCAGTATGGGAGTGATGGGCGACAAGTGTTGGATCGACTCAATGGCCCACTTGTAGGACTCGGTGTAATAGCTCTGGAAGAAGAATAACTGCGCGAACTCCGCGTACACCTGAGATAAGTTGCATTTGTCTGGATGGGAGCGCATGTCGTACTCGGCGATCATGTCCTGTATTCGTCTCATCTGATCCATGGCTGCGTCGAAATAGCAGAACGAGTTGAGAACCGATAGGAGTTTCCAATTGCACTCAAACACCACTCTCAGAGCGTTCTCATTAGTCCGGAGTTCGTTCGTGTCATACAGTTGTATGGCTTGTGTGAAGACATCTTTGCTCAACTCATACCATCCGCTCTCCTTCAGGAAAGTGCCGAAACACAGACCAAAGCGGACGGCCGTCCACTTGTCCACCGACTCAGAGCTGAGGCGTCTGTCGTCGGCGACAGTGTTGTGGCCGTTGTGTTCACACAAACGCTTGTATTTGTGGACAATCTTGTGGCCGATCTGGAGGTCGAAGTCCATGAGACTCTGAAACATGTAATGCATTGAATTCCTCTTCTCCTTCAACTC